TCGTCCCTGTCTTCGTCCTCGTCCTCGGCCTCGTCGTTGTCGTCTATGTGGTCGTCGCCGTCGTTGTTTTCGTCGTCCGGCGCCCAGGCTCCCCACCCTCCCGCGGGGCCCGACCACGTTACCGTTCCCCCCCCTGGGCCCCTCCCCCCTTTGCCGTGACGGACGTGACGAGCGGGGGGGACAAAACAGCATTCTCCACAGCGGCGGACATGCTTCTAAGAAGCTGACTGCCGGCGGACACGGACCTGAAACTGGTCAGGCGACGAGGGTATTTTGCTTATTCCAAGGAAGGAAAAGCCACCCAGACCGGACAATTGGCGTTTACTAAACGGCCCTGCCCTGTTCGATTCCTTCGTTGGGCAAGTTTTACTGAACGATTTCGCGTGTCGGGGTGGCTATTATGGGGGTGGATTTTTTGACCTCTGTTCCTGCTTTCTCCCGATGACTCCATTTGTCTCCCGATGTCTCCCTTTGTCTCCCGTTGTCTCCTGGTGTCTCCCGTTGTGTCTCCCGGTGTCTCCCGGTGACTGCCGTTGCCTCCCCGTTGTCTCCCGCTGTGTCTCTCGATAACGCTCTCCTCGTCGCCCGTGTGTCTTCCGTGGGGGTCTCGTGGTCTCCCGTGGCCTCCCTTGTTTTCCAGTGGTCTCTCCAGGTGTCTCTGTTTATATGGAGCGTGTTTCTTTCTTGCTTGGGGCGTAATGGGCATTATAGCACCCGGCCCCCCATCCCCCCCCCCCCCCCTTTATGACATAACGCCCTTCCCCCCCAGGTGCGCTCCGGGCACTGCCGCCGTGCACACGGCGGGGGGGAGGCGTTACATTATACCCCTCCTCCTCCTCCTCCTCCTCCCCTCCCCCTCCTCCTCCTCCGCCTCCTCGTCCTCCTTCTCCTCCTCCTCGTCCTCCTCCTCCTCCTCCTCCACCTCCTCCTCCTCCTCCTCCTGGCCCCTCCCCCCCTCCCTGTAATACCCAGGATCGCCGAAAAGAAACGCGCTAATACTCTTTCTCTCTCTCTCTCTGGTCCATGTTCAAAGTTATTCAGGGCTTTCTCTCTTTCAGGGTGCAATTTCTGTGGCCTCTCCCCGGCAGGGAAGGGCGTGATGGTGACAGCTTCGCAGGAGGAAGATGTTGCAGATGGGTCAGGCGAGTCATTCGTTTCGTTGTGTGTCTGGATCCCCGAGGTCCAGGTCGGGCGCGGGCGCAGCAACGCTCTACAGAGTGCTTCCGCCGTGGCGTTGAAGTCGAAGTAGCTGGGCCTGGGGCGCGGCGCTTCTCATACAATCGAGCCGAGGTATAAGATCGAGGTCGGTTCGGGGAGGGTACCTTGATGTTCTGCGTGACTGTTGGATATTATTGTGCACCTTTGGGAGGGTACCCTTGGATGTTCTGTGCGTTTTTGCCGACGGAGGGGCTCGTGCTCTCTTGAGGGATGTTCTTCTGGCCTAGGTTCGACTGTGCCAGCCTACCTCGTAGAGCAGGCGCAGTGAAGAGATACTGCTCCCACCTGCGAGGGACCAAAGAGCTCCTGACCGTAGCACTGGCTGGAGTCCGGCGGGCGGTGTCCGCTGGGCCCGCCAAACGGCGGGCTCCGGCTGCTCACCGGCGCCTGGCCCGCCTTCCGACTGGGGGCTTGCACGGCTCTGGACTGCGACGCCTTCTCCTCCCTTCGGAGGGGGTCTCACAACAGATCATCGTCCGTATCCCAGGACTGCTCGTTCCTTCTCACCTGTCGCCTGCGCTCCTGAGTCCTCTGGCTTCAGCTGGATCTTCTGAATCATCATCAGCCTTTGTACCCACGAAAACGCATGTCTTTCTGGATTTCGATCGGGCGTCCTTGAGGATGCTGAGGACTCTGATCCATCAGCATTGTCGTAGTATCTTTGAGAGGAGAATGAGAGGATTGACAATCATGTAGTGATTCGCCTGGCGAACAGATGTCTTCATCTGATCTTCGCGATGATTAGAGTTTGATTGTGGGGACGATCCCGTGCACTCATTCATTGTTTGTGTTGTCTAATGTGCATTGGCCTGATCTGGCGTCATATGGTTTCGTATTGCCAAGTAGGCCCAAAGGGTAAATTCTGATGTTGTCGTGCGTAGCGTCATCTGTTGCGATCTCTTGCCGATCTGTTTCGTTGCGGTAGTTGATCCTATCTGATTGCGGACAGCTGGGTCTGCGAAGTCGGTGACCACCATTATTGTGCCTATCCAAATGCTCCGATCTCCTCATACTTGTGTTTGCTCTTGTGCTTTGAATCGGTCTGACTTCTCCGCCATCGAAGTCTGCAAGCTTCCCTCGTTGACCCTGCCCATTTGCCTTCTGTCACCACTTCCATATCCCGCTCCTCCTCCTTGTTGACGTCTTCCCTGTGCTTACAATGCATTCGCATCTTCTGGGGTTGGGAGGTAAGGGGTGGGCAGCAGACCTGCGAGCATATTTTTCCCCAGTTCGAATGTTTCCCCAGTTCGACTTCTAGACGCTTCGCGTGACCCCACCAGCCAATCCAGAAACGATGCCCGGAGGAGTTGCCTCGATCAGGGAAGTGGGCAGCACGCAGAGAAGCCTCTTGGGAGCCTCTTTGTGAACCCGGAGGCCTCTTGGAGGGTCTTGGGTGCCTCGGGGAGCTCCATGGGGCCTCTTGGGGGTTTCTTTAGAATCTCTTGGAGACCTCTTGGGCGCCTCTTGTGGCCTTCTAGGGCCTTCTGGGCGCCTTTTTGGGCTCTTTTGAAGCGCTCTTGGGAGCCTTGGGAGCGCGCTTGGAGCCATCTTGGAGGACATCGATCAAACAAGAGGGGAGCTTCAATTAGCCCCCCTTCAAGAGGCCAAAACGGGGCCAAAACCGTGGTAAAACCGGTGATGTGGGCTTCCTCGCCGAGGTCGTTTTGGACGCTCCAACGCGTCGCGCCCCCCCCCCGTCCAAGTCCAGGGGAGAGGGTAGGGAGAGGGGTCAAGTTACCCCCTCCCCGCCCGCAAGCCGTCTCGCTCACTCCCACCCGCCCTCCCAACACATACATAGCACCCGAGTCTGGCCCGAGCCTCAGCATATTCAGCAGTCGTCTTTGGATGGGCAGCTACTTGGGGCGAATCCGCCGCCGCCGCCGCCGCCGCCTCCGCCGCCGCCGCCGCCGCCGCCGCTGCCCGCCGCTGCCGCCGCCGCCGCCCCCCGCCCGCCGCCGCCGCCGCCGCCGCCGCCGCCGCCGCCGCCGCCGCCACCGCCGCCGCCACCGCCCGCCGCCGCCGCACGCCGCTGCCTAACCGCCGCCGCAGCCGCAGCCGCTGCCGCCGCCGCCGCCGCCGCCGCCGCAGCCGCAGCCGCCTCAGCCGCCGCCGCCGCCGCAGCCGCCGCAGCCGCCGCCGCCGCCAAGTGTACTGTGTATTGTTTTTTTGACAGGGATGGTGGGGGGGCCGCATCGGGTTTATAAACCTTCCCCGAAGGGGAATCAGGGGGTTGGAAGAGGAAGCGCCCTAGACCACCTACGCGCAGAGGGCTGGTGTGATGTGTGTGTGTGTGAATGTGTGTATAAGTGTGTGTGTGTGAGTGAGTGAGTGAGCTTTCTGGCCTGGTGAACTCGTGCTGTCTCTCCTGGCATGACATAACGTATTGTAACATTGCTCGTTTTTGTGTGGGGCGATGTTGTTCGCAATGATCGAGGATCGTCAAACAGAGCGTCGGGAGGAATGGGCGAAAGAGCCACGCCATATCCGAAATAGACGACTGATTTCGGGTCGCGAGCGCGTTTTGCGCACCAGTCGTCGCGCAAAAGGGGGTTTACCGAGCGCGTTCCACTACCCGCAAAGTGACTACTCGCGAACGCCAGATCAAAAAAAGCATGTGTTTGCCTCTTTGCAATATATCTTGAATCCCCCGCGGCGGGTCCTGGTCATTTGCGAGTGGTTCCTTCGCGAGTGGAGGAACGCGCTTGTCGAGAGGCGCTTGCTCCGCTCGCGCCGCCGCAATGCCGTCTAGCAACACGATGGGAGATAGCATGCACAGGGTCCTGGAGTTAGAAGAGTATGGAGAGGATGCGCTGCATTTGTCGGGCTGCTACGCAGATGACGTGCAGTGAAGACCCATGCCAAGAAACACCCTGCCTGCCTCCAGGGTGCCCTGGGCTTCCTGGGTCTCGATGGTTCCGCCCCGGAGAGCGCGACGCTCCCACTCCAGAAGTCAATGGGCGTCCTGGGGTCTCAGGGATGGGTCTCTTGTGGAAGGTTTCCTGTGGACTGGCCCCAAATCGGGCATGTCCTTCTACACTGGGGGTATTCCACAATACTTCAAAATAGTCTGGGTATTTGTTTTACATTATTGTTGTATGTTGTTTGCTTACTTGTTTGAGTATTTTTCATCTGTCGGTGAAAATCTGCCTGTAGGAGGACATGGCCGATGTAAGACCAAACACGCTTGGAGCCGCTGCCTGGCTGTCGCCCATTGAGTCTTCGATGTCCTCGTGCATGTTGCGGGCTTCATCGAGCAGTGGTGAAGCGTTCTGGCTTGTTTTATTACGTTTTTGCCGATCGGCGCGGGCCCTCGCCCCCCCCCTCGCTCCCTCCCCGTGGAGTACATCTCGGCCTTTTTTGGGGCACCTTTTTCGAACGGGTGGAAATCCCCCAGAGGACGCACGGTTCCGAACAGTCGCACTAAGCAGAGGTCCGGAGCCAGACGCCCACCCCCAGTCCGCCCAATGTCGAAGTGCCGAAAAATTCTGACTGCGTATAGGCCCGCCAAAAAAAGTGCTAAGAACCGTTTGTGGTCTTGCGCGGAAGGTTCTCAGGACACTTCTGGCTGAGGCGGTGTTGTTTTAGCACACGCGGGGTTGCTGCTCTGAGAGCCCTGCCTTGTTCTTGGAGCATTCTGGGGCTCCAAGAGCATGCCGTGGTAGGCCTGGAGGAATGCTGGGACGGTCGGTCCCTGCTCAGCTTCAGGCGCGCAGTCGCCTGCACAGGTTGCTTTGATCGCGGAGGAGGTCTGGCAGGAAGGGGGGTGCCCACCGCGCCCCCCCAGCTCTGCATGGCCGCGTTCGAGGGGCCACCTGGGCGGTCGGGCCATGCCGCCGCCAGCCGATGTTCCTCTCCGCAGCGCGGCGCGCGGCTCGGAGGCGGCGGGCTCCGGGACGGCGGAAGGGGCTTGTCGACTATTGAGGCTGTCGCCTGGGCCCGGGGCACAATGGGGAGGAGGAAGAGGAGGAGGAGGAGGAGGAGGAGGAGGAGGAGCCCATGTCCAACTGGACCATGTCGTCCGCCATGCAGCCGATCCTGCTCGAGCTCATCATTGCGGGCACGGTGCATTTCTTAGGGGGCAGGTGTGCAGCCGGTCGTTGTGAATGTGGATGCTGTGTCATTGTGTTGAAGCGTTGTCGTGTAATGTTTGACGTTTCGAGAGTCACTCTTAAGCCTTCTGAATGGAAATAGCCCCAGGACGCATACGTATATATAGATATATATATACACACATCTATATATTTGTATAATTCGTTTTGCAAATGAGATGGGTGAGCACCTGCAAAGCAACGAAAAAGGACACCTGGCACACATAAGCAGGGACCGGCCCAATCAGCCCTTTGCATTTCGGCAGGTGAAAGACGGTGCCCTCAAATATCCAGGACGGGGCAATCAGGTGATAGGATAATTGGGAAACGTGGAAAGGCATACACTTCGTATGGAGGCGTGGCATGCTGGTGCGGTTGGGTCCGTTTCGCTCTGCGTCCCATTGGTTTGCACCGTTGATCGATGTGCACCTCTCAGGAGACCACACCTTGCCGCTAGCGGAAGAGGACAAACCGCTGGAAGCACGTGCGGTCAAGATTTGCCTTTCTATGCTCGCTATTTTCATCGACTTCTGCTTTGCGTTTTCGATGGAGTCTCGTGCATTGTCGCGGGTGCTGCGACCCCTTCGTGCCCCATGCCTCTGACGTGGCCGGATGAGGGAGTGGTATTCAATCTCGGGGCTCAAGAGACGGGGGTCAATGCAAACGAGGGTCAGCAAGAGCGCAGGATCTTGCAGGGACAGGCGTCGCCTTCACCCGGGTCTGGGTGCAGGATCCTGCAGGATGTTGCGGGATCCTTGCCATTGACCCGGGTTTGGGTGCAGGATCTTGCACGATCTTGCAGGATTTTGCAAGGCCTGACTGACCGGGGTCTGGACTGACCCGGGCCAGACGATCCCCGACCATCCGGGAACGGCCTGGTGCTTGGCATCGCTCGGACGTGTGCATTTTTCTTATGGCGAGGACTATCGAGGAGCATCCTTAATCAGTTGGCAAAAAAAACACCCACGAAACCGGAAAAAAACACAGGGAATGGACGTCCGAGCGATGGCGAGGGCGGCATCCGCGATTTGTCTGAATACGCTTGGCTTCGCGGCCGGCCTCCGAGAAGGGAGGAGTCCGAAGGCGACGGTATCGTTGGGGCGTGCTGGTTGTGCTCTGCTAGGCCGGAAGTGCCGAAGTCAGGAGTGCCATGCGCTTTGTTCTGCACGAGGTCTTCGGGAGGAAACGCGCACAGGTGCAGGGTACATACCTATCGGCCCTCTCCCTCTCCTTCTTTCTGTCCCTCTCCCTCTCTCTCACTCTCTCCCTATCTTCTCTGCGCGGGATCGTTCTGCAGCTTCACACGCGTGCGTGGCCGCTCGGGAGGCCCTGGAAACGTGTTGGCTTCTTGAACATATCCTTGGGCCAGCTCGGCCTGTGCGAGCCCCCCTCCTGGCATGCAAGGTCCGGCCTCTTGATCGCCGCGCGCCCTGGAGACCGTGTCTCAAGACGGATTCGCCATCCCCCTCCTGCTCTTGTCGGGCCGGACGACAGGGGGGGATTGGGAAAGGTGGGGTACGAAATCTGCTGCATGCGGCTGCTTTCGGCCCCACCAAAGGCCCCCTTCCTCGATACATAGCCGCCCCTGGCGCCGGGGGGCGCCGGGAACATCAGCTACGTGAGCTGATTCTCAAACCCCTCCTTTGCTATCCCCCCCTTCCGCCCGGCCCGATCCTACAGTCAGCGCGCCCAGTATCTGGACGCCCGAAATGGGTACGGAAAGAATGGGTACAATGCCCAACAGCAGTTCCTGTTCATTTTGAACAGGATACGCTGTCCACGCCGCCGCGGCCTGTGTCCTTTCGAGACAGAGGGCCGCCTGCCCAACAGCGGCCGCTGTTGGTTTGGGACAACATTTGCTGTTGGGCATTGTGCCCATCCTTTCCATACCCATTTCGGGCGTCCAAACAGTAAGCGCGCCGCCGTCGTCCAGGGCTCCCTTTGCGTCCCTGCCTCTGCGGCCCGTCCTCTGCGGGTTGCACGGGTCGCCCGCCGCCCAAGCAATCCCAACTTCGGCCTCCAAGGGTCTGGCGTGGAGGGTTTCTCCGAAGGGTTTAGGCGACCAGTCTTCCTCCTCCTCTTCCTCCTCCACCTCCTCATCCTCCTCCTCCTCCTTCTCCTCCTCCTCCTCCTCCTCCTCCATCTCCTCCTCCCCCTCCCCCCCCTCCACCTCCGCCTCCTCCTCGAGTCGCCTACGGCCCCGGGGGAAACCGTGCAGTCTGGCGTCCTCACCACCCGTCCTGAAAATACACTCCAGGAGGGGACAGAAGCACACACACAGACGCAATGAATCGTCGACTCCCAGGAACATGTGGGACCAAACGGGAAGTGTGTGGGGGTTGGGGGGGGACGACGAACGTCCTGAAGATCTGGAGAAAGACTGGGAATCCTGGGATCTGTGTGTATTTTTGTTCGCGTGTCATAGGGCCCCCTTTACACACGTTTTGACTGTAGTCCTCCGCGCGCGATGAGCGGGCGGCTTGCCCCCCCCCTCCCCCGCAGAGGCCAATCCACTTGATCACAACTGCCGATCAGTGCAGGTCTCTGGTGGAGCGCGTCCTCAGCTCGGGGCAGACCTGCGTAGGAGCGAGCGGCTGGTGATCGTTTTTTTATGCATTGTTTTGCCGATCGGCGGGGGCCCCCCAACCCCCCCTCCCCCCTCCCCCCACCAAGGACTAGATCTTGGCTGTTTTGGGCGCCTGTTTCGAGCAGGTGGAGTCTCCCCCAGAGGACGCACGGTTCCAGACAGCGGCACTAAGCAGAGGTCCGGAGCTAGACCCCCCCCCCTCCCCCCCCGCTTTCTGCACAGTGTCGAAACGCCGAATAAAAAAAAACGCTCACCTGGGTGGGGGGCCCCTGCGCGTTCGACGAAGTCGGCGGTCATTGTCTCGGTCATGCTGCCGCTCCGTTCGGCAGTGATGTCGGCATCGGTTTCCATGCCGATTGTTGTGTGGACTATGGTATCGATTGTTGTGATCGTGGCGATTGGAGCAATGTTGTCTGTGACGATTGAGATGGCGATCGTGAAGGTGATACTGACGGGGGGATGATGACAAGGAAGAAGTTTGGGTGCGTGGGATGTGTTGGTGCTGATGCGAAGGCTGATGAGGATAATGGGGGGAGGGGAGCCTTGTTTCGCCAATCGGTTAATTGTCCTTCTTACTTCACCGTGGGCCGGGAGGCCCTCGTAGTGACTGGGAGTTCGACAGAGGGTTCGGCATACCCTGAGATCTTACCAGCAACTACTTTACTTGTCTGCTTGTGTCTCTGTTAAATGTGCCTGTGCGCCATTACCTCGCGCCTGTGCGTAGTCTTCGCATTTGGACGCTGCAGTTTGCACTTCGATCTCGCCCTGCTCCCATCTCGCACTTTGCATGTGCGCCACCACGCGCCCACGCGTGTGATTATTTGAGCTTCACAGGCGCCTCCTCTCACTAGATGATAGCGTTTTCTGTCGTCGCGGAAGTATAGCTTCTTAAATGTAACGCTGCCCCATTCTGAGCTGCCAGTACCCTGTTTAGCGAGCGATCTTTGTACAGCGTGAGATGGTATGGTAGTAGGCACGTTCCCGAAAAGGTGGAACGAATGAGGTACGACCTGTTCTTTGAATCGAATCTGCGACACTGGATACTCCTGTGCTCCTGTGGTCGCCCTCATCTTATTCGATTGTCTCTGGGTCTGTTTCTAACTTGTCCGCGAGTCGTTTGATTTGACGGGCCACGGCATGTGCATACGAAGGGCAAGGTGGAAGCACTGCAGGACCGAGGGCGGGAATCTAGGATCGGGAATGAGCCAGTCGTGCCCATTGAGGGCTGGTTTGCAATCGGGGTCCCGCCCGTGTGCGCCTCACAGGGCAACTCCGTGCTGACGTGTCAGCAATGCCGCCGCCTATCGTGTCGTGCCGCATCCTTTCTTCCTTGCCCGTCGCCGCCCTGCACCACCACCCACCAAACCACCCCGCTCCAACCCGAAGGCCTCGATCTGCCCTCCGTTTCCTGTGTGTGTGTGTGTGTGGGGGGGGGTCGGGGAACGTCGGAAAAACACAGATGGAGCCCATACCCCCCCCCCCCAACCCGAACTTCGGATCCTCGGGTTGGGTTGGGGTGGTCTGGCAGGTAGTCCCCGCGAGGAGTGGACTGCGAGGGCACCCAGATCGGCCGATTCGGCAAGCTCTCGCTCCTCCAGCTCGCCACGGACGACGACGTGTTCCTCGTGGACGTCGCGGTGGCTCGGAGGGTGGAGGCCGAAGGATGATGGGCCTGTTTTCTACCACCACCACCACCATCAGTTGGAGGGGGGGGGGGTCCTCCTCCTCCTCCTCCTTCTCCTCCTAGACCTCCTCCTCCTTCTCTTTCTCCTCCTCCTCTTCGTCGGTGTCGTCGTCCTTCTCCTCTTCCTCCATCCCCCCTCAAGATTATGGTGGTGGTGGTGGTGGTGGAAAACAGGCTCATCAGAAGGAGCGTTCCGCGTCACTGTTCTCACTGCTTCTGGGGCCCGTTTTGTTGTCCCCGTTCCATTTGATAGCACGCGGGCGTGTGATGGGGGGACGTATGGTTTGCGAGAAATCGGCTGGGCCACCTCCATGGGATTACCTTCGTCCTCTGGAGTGAGTGCTTTTCTGGCTTTCGAAGGGGGAGGCTTGGGCGGTGGGGGCGCATCCTCTGATGAACCACTTGCAGCCGGAAGCGTCTGCACCCGGCCATCGCATGACGTGTTGTCTATGTTGCAGCTGGTCCCAAGCCCAGCGTCGTTCTGTTCGAGCACCTCCAGAGTTTTGTGGGTCTCGAGGTTCGCCGACGAGAGGAGCCTTTGCGTTCTGTGGTCCCCGAGATACTCGGACGAGAACTTCACCCCACAATCTGCTCTTTTGTCGGCCCGGGCTCACGAGCGAACGCAACTCCTCTGTCTGGTGGATCGGAAGCCTCACGGGCGAGAGGAGGACACATGCTTTTTCTGCTCCTCCTCCTCCTCCGCCTCCTTCTCCTCCTCCTCGCCCTCCTCCTCCTCCTCCCCCTCCTCCTCCTCCCCCTCCTCCTCCTCCTCCTCCTCCTCCTCCTCCTCCTCCTCCTCCTCCCCCTCCTCCCCCTCCTCCTCCTCCCCCTCCCCCTCCTCCCCCTCCGCCCCCTCCTCCCCTCCGCCTCCTCCTCCGCCTCCTCCTCCTCCTCCTCCTCCTCCTCAGCCTCCCCCTCCTCCCCTCCTCCCCCTCCCCCTCCTCCCTCCCCTCCTCCTCCTCCTCCTCCTCCCCCTCCCCCCCCTGGCGCGCGGGGGGGCGCCTTCGAGGAGGCGGCCGGGCACCCCCCTCTTTGCCCTCGGCGCGCGGCCGCCGCGAGGCGCAGGGGGGGGGGGCGGCAGGCCTACCCTGTCGGAGTCTCGGAGGTTCTGCTGCGGTTCTGGGCGGGCGCCCTGCCGGAATCGTCGTGCCGGACGAAGGGGGAGGAAGGGAAAGGGGGGGGAGGAGGGGAGGAGGAGGAGGGGGAGGGAGGAGGAGGAGGAGGAGGGGAGGAGAGGAGGAGGAGGAGAGGAGGAGGAGGAGGAGGAGGAGGAGGGGAGCCCATCGGCGAGAGGAGGGCTCCTTGGGGCAGCGCGGGCCGAACAAAAGGGGGGGATTGGGAAAGGGGGGGTTACGAAATCTGCTGCATGCGGCTGGTTTCGGCCCCACCGAGGGGCCCCTTCCTCGATACATGGCCGCCTCCGGCGCCGGGAGGCGCCGGGGAGATCAGCTACATGAGCTGATTCTCCCCCCCCCCCCTTTTGCTATCCCCCCCTTTCGCCCGTCCCGATGGACGCGTCGTGCTTTCCTCCAGAGCTGGACCTAAACGGTGTTCTGGCGATTTCGTGGGCCGTTTCGTTCCGATTTCGCTCTGCGGTAGTCCAAGACAAGACGAGGCAAAGCGAACACAACACGAACACAACGAAAATTACGCTACCGAGGAACCCCACATACCAATTATATTTCCTGCGCGCACCATCGCCACGAGTCTCATTACCAGAACAACAACACCACCAACAACAACAACAGCGACTACTACTACTACTACTACTACCACCACCACCACCACCACCACCACCACCACTACTACTACTACTACTACTACTACTACTACTACTACTACTACTACTACTACTACTACTACTACTACTACTACTACTACTACTGCTACTACTGCTACTACGTTTACTACTACTACTACTACTACTACCACTACTACTACTACTACTACTACTACTACTACTACCACTACTACTACCACTACTACTACCACTGCTGATGCTACTATTATTATTATTACTACTACTACTACCACTACTACTACTACTACTGCTACTACTACTACTACTACTACGACTACTACTACTACCACTACTACTACTACTACTACTTCTACTACTACTTCTACTACTACTACTACTACTACTACGACTACTACTACTACTACTACCACTACTACTATTGCTAGTACTACGACCACTACCACCACTACGACGACGACTACTACTACTATTACTGCTACTACGAGTACTACTACTACTGCATCTACTACTTCTACTTGTATTTCTATTTCTACTTCTACTACTATCACCAGTAGTACTAGTACTACTCGTACCACTAATGTTACTAGTACTACGAGTATTAGTACTAGGGGAACTATACTAGTACTACGAGCACTACGAGTACTACGAGTACTACGAGTATTAGTACTACTAGTACTACGAACGCGACTAGTACTACGGGCATGTCAGGCTGCAGTGCGAACGATCGAAGGGTGGGAACATCCATCTCGTAGCTCGGGTGGTGGCCGTTGGAGTACCTGTTGAGAGCCTGCCACAAGTTTGCATCGGCACCCCTCTTGGACGGTTGGAACTGTGGATCCACCGCCCGCTTCTCTGCAAACGAATTGTACCATCCGGCAGCTTTCTTATCAGCAAGGGCGCACAAACAGGTCGGCGCGACCGACTGTCGCAGGCTCCGCGACCAAGGTCCTTGCCACCAACGGTCGTCCGCCTCCGCGGGCCAAGGGGAAAGCTGAGCGCGAGGAGTGCCAGTGGAACGAACAGAGGTAGCCAGCAGCAAAGCCGGGGACCGCTGCGGAGTGCAAGTCTGCATGGGCGGGGCCTTCGTTGGCGTGTCCTTCGTCGGTGTAGCTTTCAGAGGCGTGGCAAACGCGGCGGCGGGGGCCCCTGTGTCAGCCGCCGCGCTGCCGGCCTCGCGCACTCGCCGCACCTTGCAGGTACGCCACCAAGCACCGCCTCTTGCCGTCGTCGTTCATCTCCGAGTACCTCGCGTAGAGCGTATCGGGCCACCAATTGTGAAGCTGGCGGCGGTACGCGTTCAAAGCGGACTGCACCACTCCGTTGGCGCATCTGCGGAAGGTCTCCACGCTAACTTCGCCGCCCATCTGAACCATTGCGGTCTTCATCGCCAAACATCGAGGTGACAGCGCGTCCACGGTGATTTGGGAGGCATGGCTGTCGCGCAGGTCGGGCGGTCCTCTGAAGTAGGACTATAGGAGCGCGCCTGCGTGAGAGCGCAGGCGCGCCGAGCCGGCTTGAGCCAAGGTGTTTACAGTTGTTGACAAGATACGAGCTCCCATCCCCAGCGCACCCCTTGCGGCGTCGAGGAAATGCCGCGCCTGCCACGCCCTGGAAGCCTGCAGCGCATAGGGCCCCCACCCCCAGCGCACCCCCTGTGGCGTCGAGGAAATGCCATGCCTGCCACGCCCTGGGAGCCTGCAGCGCATAGGGGCCCCACCCCCAGCGCACCCCCTGCGGCGTCGAGGAAATGCCGCGCCTGCCACGCCCTGGAAGCCTACAACGCATAGGGCCCCCACCCCCAGCGCACCCCATTGTGGCGTCGAGGAACTGCCACGCCTGCCACGCCCTGGGAGCCTGCAGCGCATAGGGCCCCCACCCCCAGCGCACCCCCTGCGGCGTCGAGGAAATGCCACGCCTGCCACGCCCTGGGAGCCTACAACGCATAGGGCCCCCACTCCCAGCGCACCCCCTGTGGCGTCGAGGAAATGCCACGCCTGCCACGCCCTGGGAGCCTACAGCGCATAGGGCCCCCACCCCCAGCGCACCCCCTGTGGCGTCGAGGAAATGCCACGCCTGCCACGCCCTGGGAGCCTACAGCGCGGAGGGCCCCCACCCCCAGCGCACCCCCTGTTGCGATCTTAAGTGTAACGCATGCCGTGCCTTGCGCCATGGCCTGCTGAGCTGTGTTGTGTTGAGCTGAGCTGTGCTGAGCTGTGCTGTGCTGTGTGTGGGGGGGGGGAGGGGAGGTTGTGTGTGAGGAGACGCGGGTGCGCCGCGGCACATAAGAAAACCATAACCCCACGAAACATGTGGGGAACGAAAAGCACCGTTTAGGTTCAGCCTTGTCTTTTTATCATACTTCCGATGGTCTGGTGTTTGGCCCCTGCCAGGGTCCCGGGGGCGTGCCAGCGGACGTGCCAGACAGGCGTCGTGGCGAAACATGCTCCAGGGGGACGTGTCCGAGGTGCGCGCCCCTAGATGAGTTAGGGCACGCACAGCAGAAGGCTGCCTGGGCGGTCTTGCTGCTGCATGTCCTCAGGCACTTCTCTCGTTCCTCTAGTCGGGTCACAGAGGCAGGACGAGGTTTTGGGTCAGAGGCCTGGTTCAAGTCGTCCGTTTTGTAGTTTGCCCAACATGTTTCTCGTGGATGCTGGGCTTTTCATTTGCAGGAAGGCCCTGTCTGCTGTGGCCAGGTGCTCTGGGGCCCGTCGACCAGCTCGGCGTGCCCTCTGCCTCTGCGTGACAACGGCGGGGCGTCCTACGGTTCTATCCCGGTACTAACAGCCTTGAGACGAGGGTCAATGCAGACGGGGGTCAGCCAGAGCGCCCGATCTTGCAGGATCCTGCAGGGCCAGGGTCGCATTGACCCGGTTTTGGGTGCAGGATCCTTCAGGATTTTGCATGATCCTTCGTATTGGCCCTGACTTGGGTGCAGGACTTTGCAGGATCCTGAAAGGCCGGATTGACCCGGGTCTGGATTGACCCGGGTCATCAGATCCCCGAGTTATCATTGTCGGCGTGTGCGTCTGTCCGCCGACGGTCTGCAATTGCGCCGCGTCCCTGCCCCTCACAGTGTGCGCCACACATGACATACTGCTATCCCCCCAGCTGCGCCTCCATTCATGCTGGATGGTTTTCGGGTCCACCTGGACACAGCAGAGTCTGCCGGTGAAAGGACATGTGATTTCCGGTGGCCGGGATGCGTGGCCGCTTCATGATGAAACGTTCGGGGGCGGAAAAGAAGGGGGTGATGACTAGGAGGGGTGGATATCATGGCGGGGGCCATGATATTTCCCCAGATTTCATGGCGCCTCTTCTTATTTCATCACGTCCCTGGCCCTCCCGCTGGGCCGCGCACGTGCCGCCGGTCATGATTTGCACCCCCCCCCTCTCCTGGACACCCCCCTCTTGGCCGCTCCCGAGACGTGTCTTACATATCGAGAAGTTCATCGGCGCACTTTGCTGCGCCTGCTGCCCGGTGCGCGAGCAGCCACCGCTCAAGGGCTCCGCGGCGCGCCGGTCGTGGAGGGCCGCGCCCGGCCAGCTGCCGAAACCGCGGGCCTGCCCGCGCCCCCCTTTTGTCACTCCGCGCCGCTTGTCGCGCAATCCTTCGGCCCTCGATGCTTCGTCATGTCGTTGGTAACTACTCGGGCAGACTTTGATTTTGACGCCTCCCCCTCCTGCCGCTCCTCCTCCTCCTCCTCGAGCTTGGGGAGCGAGGGCCGTCGGTCGAGGAGGGGCTGGTAGCTACTTGGGCATGCTTTGATTCTGACGTGCTCGGACTCGGCGCTTCGAAGCACCGGCGCGCTCGAGGGGTCACGGCGGTGGCAGTCTTGGGTGCCCCCCTCCGGCTCTGCCTCGTGCGGCCCCGCGTCGGGCCCGCGTCGGGCCCGCGCGGGGCAGCCGCAGGAAGACATCGGGCAAACACCAACCATGCACCACAAGTGCACCAAACATACTCCAGATTTCGTAATAAAGGGAGGGGGGTCTCATTTCGGGGAGTCTCTTCCAGGCTATCTTGGAAGGCCTGGGGGGGCCTGGGGACGATGTTTTGGAGGGTTCTCCCACGGGGGGGGGGGGTCTAAAACTTCTCGTCTGGGAGGGTTGTGACCCCCTCCCTTTTATCACGAAATCTGGAGTACATTACAAGTGCACCACACATTCGGCGGCGAGCTCGGAGGGGAGCGAGCAGGGGCGGGGTCCCCTCGGAAGGCCCCCCAGGCCTTCGGAGAGGAGTCCTCGAAGCCTTCTCCCCGAAGACACCGAAGACCTCTCAAGAGGGCACGATGGGCTTCTGAGGAGCCCCGCCGCCTTCGGAGAGAGCAGGCCCTCTCTCTTTCTCCCTTCCCCCTTCGTGCTGCCCACGCATATGAGTACACGGACGGTACACACCACATGCACCATACGTGCACGAATCGTAGCAATCACGCGCGACGAGCACCCTTCCAGCCGCCTCCGTCGCGAGCGCCGGGCTGTCCTGGAGAGATTTCGCCACGGCGGCCCGCGGGATCCAGAACAACGGCATAGTCGTTGCGGTTCCAGGCCTCCCCTGGGGATTGGACTTTTTCCCCAGGAGTGCAGTTGAGGTCACGATCACGGGAATGCCCAGAGATATTCCACCACGTGCGACTTGCATACCCTAGGCCTCCGGGTCTGAGCAGATGGGGTCAGACGATTGCGCCGCATCGTCGATGCATCCGCGATGCGGCTCGATGCGGAGCTCTATGTTGTCCGCGCCGACGTCAGCGATGCATCGCCGACGTCGCCGCTGCATCGTCGATGTATCGGCGATGCATCGCCGATGTAGCGAGATCCTCCGACCCCGTCTACTTGGACCCATCTGGTAAGCCTCTACATACACCACACATACATGCTATAAATGCACGACATCCACCACGAGTGCACCACGTATGCACTGGACATGGGCCAGACTCCACGCATGCCCTCTTAGAACTCCTGCGTCATCTTGTGGGGGGCACCCGCGTCTCTCGGTTTAAACCTGGGCTTTGCGCCAATCAGTAGGCGTGCGCTCCGTGTGCACCATCTCGTTGGCCGTCCGTGCGGTTGACGGAGGAGACGGAGCTTTGGCAATTACCGATCAGTTGCCCTGGTGTAGTTTGTGTGGGGCGTTCGGTACCAAGAAGGTCAGGCTCCTTCCTGGTCTGGCTGTGAGGTGTTACCAGGGCCCTCGAAAGGAAGATGCAAGTAGGTCTTTGAGCTTACTGAATAACGGGGATTGACCCAGGCTCTGAAGTATCATTGTTTGTGCCAGGTGTTGCACAGCGGGGCGTGGTGCGCCAAGGAACCATAAGACCTGGAGGAGCAGGAGTAGGAGGAGGAGGAGGAGGAGCAGGCCTAAGCTTGGCTCCAATCGAAGGTGGGCGGCGCTGGGATCGTGGAGCCCCTGAGCTCGCTGCTCGGGAGCCGCGACGTTGTGAAGGTGTTTCATGACTGCCGGGAGGACGCCGGCCGGCCCACGGCTGGGCGCTGCTTGTGTCACGAGCGGCGGGCATCTCCGTATCCGCGCCGTCGCGATCTGGGTTCCGGGGCGCGATCCCCTGGATGCGCAGTCGCGCGGACGCGATCCGCGCGGGGCACTCGCGAACAATTAGGAGGAAGAGGAGGAGGAGGAGGAGGAGGAGGAGGAGGAGGAGGAGGAGGAGGAGGAGGAGAGGCGGCAGGGGGCGGAGGAGGAGGAGGAGGCGGAGGCGGAGGAGGAGGAGGAGGAGGCGCAAAGGGGGTCCGAGAGGAGGAGAGTGAGGAGGAAGAGGAGGAGGGAGGATGAGGAGGAGAGGAGGAGGGATGGATGATGATGATGATGATGATGATGATGATGATGATGATGATGATGATGATGATGATGATGATGATGATGATGATGATGAGGATGAGATGAGGATGAGGATGAGGATGAGGATGAGGATGAGGATGATGAGATGAGGAGAGGATGAGGATGATGGTGATGGTGATGGTGATGGTGATGGTGATGGTGATGATGATGATGATGATGATGATGATGAGGAGGAGGAGGAGGAGGAGGAGGAGGAGGAGGAGGAGGAGGAGGAGGAATGGAGGAGGAGGAGGAGCCCTCCAGGGAGCTCCCTGGAGGGCTCCCTGGGGCGTGTGCCCGCCGGGAGGCGCCAGCGAGCGAGGCTGGCCCGGAGCTCGGACGCCGTGATCTGTGCAAGACGGGGGACGGGCCCAACGGAGTTGTAACCACGCCGCGTGGCGAGTCGGTGGGGCGAAGTGGCCCTCTGTCGACTGGACGTAAGAGTGACCTTTCGCCGGAGTGACCTTTGGTGCGGGCACAGATGGGTCCCCAGATGGCTGAAAACGAAGCAGTAGCAGCTGCTTGCGCGCCCAGGTTTTGGTCCCCCCGCGGCCCCCAAAAAGTCGCGCACCAAAGGTCACTCTTACCCAGGGTCACTTTTGCGTATAGCCGACTCTGTCCATCCGCCACTCCGCCTGGGTCGTGCTCCAGATGCGCGGGAGACATTCTGGGGGATCTACGGGGGGGGGTTCTTGGGATCGGGGCTTTTTTGATGGCCCCTCGGGTGTCCTGGAGCCTTCTGGCACTCCTTTTATGGGCCCTCTTGGGGTCTTGGGATCACGGTGGAGGGGCTGGCTTCAGCGGCGCGGCGGTGGCGTGCTTTTGGGGCACCTCCTGTGGTTTTCGGGGGCCGTCTGGGGCCCCTCCTGGGGGCTTCTTGGGCCATCGTGGGTCCGTCTTGTTGGGTTCTCGGGCCGCGCTCTCTTGCGACCGATGCGGCGAGAGTGTTAGGATGATGCGAGCACGCGAGGGAACCAGCAGATGTTGGCCTCCTGTGTCGCAGCAGAGACCTCCAATGACGGCCCGCGAGTCTCCCAAGAGTGCCGAGTTGGGCTCAAAAAAGGTTCCACGGGCCCCAAGATCGACCCAGTCACTCCGTTGAGGGAGAGGCGGGGGAGTGCACCCGCATGCATGTCGAATCCCATATGACGTTGACGAACCCCAGCCCATGGCACGGTTTCGTTCATTGCAGAACAGCTGGCGTAGCCTTTGCAGTAGGATGATGTGTGTGTAAAGCAACTGAAGGCTATCACCCAAATAAGCGGCCTGCCCTTGTGCGCACAGTTGTTCTGGGACGGAGCCTTGGTACCCAAGTTGTGATACCACTTCGGTCTGTGTAGTTGTGGCTCTGCACACCTGGTGCGGTTGGTGACAGGTGGAAAGACATACGATAGTAAACACACTGCGGCGCAATGCCCCGCAGCGCACCGCAACGCACTATCAACATGTCTTTGGGAAACAACAGCGCGATACACTCGACCCAATATAACGTAACCATTGCGCCAAGCACGCGCCAACCAGCCCGACCGCAACGCAACACTACGCGAAGTGACTGCAGCAACAACTCGCAGGAAATGCTACATAAATACGGAAGCACTGCAACGCAAAGTAACAGCATCGTTTAACCAACGCATTGGCTACACAAGAGAAAGCCTGACACAAGCTTGTTGAAATCCTCTAAGGGGCCTCTCGCCAAAGTCTCGTAATCCTACAAGACACCAACCAGAAACCTACGATAGCCTTTTAAAACCTGTCGGAAACCTCTCGGGAGCCTTCAGGAACATGTTCGGAATCCCATCGGCAGTTTTTCGGACTGCTCTCGGGACCCTTTCGGCATCCTCCCCGGAAGCACATCACAAGCTTATCGGGAACTCGACAGGACCTTTTTACAAACGCCCTAGATCACTCTTGGATGCCTTTCGGACGCCTCTCGGGAACTTCTCGAACGCCTCGAGGAAGTCTCTCGGAAGTTTTGCAGACTCCTCCAATAACAACAACCATCTCGACAGCCTCTCGGAACCCTGTCGGAAGCCTTGCGGAAACGTTGCGGAAGCCTATTGGAAGCGCCCCGGAAGCTTCTCGGACATCCAGAGGAACCTGGAGTAGCCCGAAGGAACCTGAGGAACATTCCAGGAATCCCCAGGAGTCCACGGGACCCCTCATGCATCCTCCAGTTCAGGCTTCGAGAAGAAATTTGAGGAGCCCGCAGGATCCCCCCATTCACCAACAAATGGATCATGCAGTTGCCCTGGGAAATATCGCACGGATTGTCCTCAGGCTTCATACAGCTGGATTTTGGAGTTGGACATGCTTCTTCAGAAAGCGCATGGCTTTAGGAAGCACAGTCGTGTCTCCAAGCATTCGTGGGGACAGGCCAAGTTCATTAGAACCATGCGGGGTTTCCCAAAGGGATCAGCATGTCTTCTTGAGGATTCATAGAGATGTCCTACGCTTTCCCAAAAAACATGCGGGTTACCCAGCACTACCGGGATTGCCAACGGAATCATAATGGTGAAACACCCTGTTATTCAAAAGTCGTACGGATACCGAAGCAATCTACAGGACTTCAAAGTTTATTGCAGATTTGCTTGAGCAGACATACGTTGTTGTCGACTCCAGCTTGAGATTTGCACATCAACTCGGTTGGGCTCCATCGAGAATGGTCGGGATTCGTTCAAGCTGTTTCCCTGGACCCCTTCCCCTCCCCTGGTCCCCACCCCCAGCAGGGACGGATCAAGGAGAATTGTTTCCCGTCGACTCGATTAATTACGACGTGGATCGATTCACTTGGGGTTGGCGAGTTTGGAGAGTCCCAGGTGGCCCTAGGGAGATGAGGGATGTTCGCATGGAAAAGCGTGTCCCAGGACCACCCCTGAACGACCACTCCTGGACTCCCCACTCCGCCTCACGCGCCAATAGGGTGGGCGGAGTTTCGGGCTCGTTAGGTAGCAAATCATCGGAGCCTGGTATACCCTATTAATTCCGTCTTTAGCGTCGACCATCGTCGATTAGCGTTTGGAGTCGATGCGACAGAGCGCAGATTTAGCGTCGGTGAGCGTCGATTCGCGTCGATTTCGCTTCGATCAGCGTCGATTTTGCGCCGACTAGCGTCGACATAGCAAGAGCCGACAAGGTCGTATTGGAGGCTGCCACCGAAGTCGGGGATAGCCAGGACCCCAGGTAAGGGGACCCGCTTAGTGGTAAGGCTTCGGAGCCCCTGAATTGGCCAGAATCACTAAACCAGGTCTGCCGTAGCTCGTTTTTTCTGGTGACGGCAGTTCCGGTGAGTGGAACGGGGCGGGGGGGGGGGGGCGTCCCCCAGTACACAGCACCAAACCAGGTCCCACTAAGCCCAGTTCTGCCAACGCCCGTCCTCCTCCCCCTCCTCCTCCTCCTCCTCCTCCTCCTCCTCCTCCTCCTGCTCCTCCTCCTCCTGCTCCTCCTCCTGCTCCTCCAAAGGCTCGCCAGCAGCCCTTGGCATCATACCACGGCCGACGCCTCCCCGGTTCCCGAGCCTCTCGCAGGGCTGCGGTCGTCGACGGTGGGCGGGGCACCAGGCCGACGGGTCTCTCGCTGGCAGGACCGCCGGGGCCCGCGCGCGCTGTGAGGCCTCGGCGTGTCTGGACTCCTGTCGGGCATGTCCTACATCGGGGGCGGAACAGAGGGGGGTGATGACTAGGGGGGGGTGGATATCATGGCGTGGGCCATGATATTTCCCCAGATCTCATGGCGCCTCTTCTTGTTTCATTACGTCCCTGGCCCCCCCGCTGGGCCGCGCACATGCCGCCGGTCATGATTTGCACCCCTCCCTCTTGGACACCCCCCTCTTGGCCGCTCCCGACTACAGGAGGAATATTCATGAGCAGTGAAACATAGTCTGGGTACGACGTCTGTTCTGATCTCTGTCAGGGTATGTGTTTGACGATTTGATTGTGTCATTGGACTTTTGACCATTCTTCATTTGTCGTCCCAGCTCCGCCTGCAGGGACATGCCCGACCCAAGCCTAGACGTGTTGGGCGGCGCGAAGACCGCAGCGCCCCCCCCCCCCCCCTCGGTAGGAGGCAGAACGATGTGCAACGTAATGTTCAGACCAGTACACATTTGATGGGCCAATTTTCCACCACCATTACCATAGGTAGGACGGGGTAGAAGGGAGGATTTGGAGGTCCTCCTCCTCCTTCTCCTCCTCCTCCTCCTCCTCCCCTACCTATGGCAGTGGTGGTGGGAAATCGACCCATCAACATTGAGGTACGACCGTTGTGGTTCATCGGGGCACGCATGTTCAATATCATCGCCACCAGGCCAGCGCAGCTTGCACTGAATGCTGTACGGCTCTACCGATTTCTCCTTGCAGGTTCGGTAGAACCATACATGTGCCGGTTGGGAAGCCTTGCTACGACATTGTAGCGTGGGGTGGCCGTTTTTCTGCATGAAAGTTGCAGTGCCTCTTCGGGGCCTCTTCGAGGGCCTCCTGGAGGCCTGTCAGATGTCTCGGGGCAGCCTGTTAGGGTTGACAGCAGTGCCATTGATCGCCTCAGAATTCCCAGCTCTGTTGGAGCTCTTTGCTGGCGTTTCTCTATGGCCACTTGAAGGTCGACGGGGTTGCCTTGTCGGCATCAGTGATGCCTATGCCCTCGGCTAGGGGCTCCTCCAGAAAAGTCTGGCCCGCGCAGGACGCATCGCTGCTGCTGGAGCGGCACGGCATGCCGCTCGTGGGAGTGTTCGACACGCAGGTGGGGCACCAGCTGTGGCTGGAGAGGTTGGGCCTGGAGGCCAGGCGGGTCGGGTGCGCTTCTCGACTACTGAGTGTCGGGAGCTGGGATCACGGCGCTCGATTACGTCCCGGCTGGCAAGGACCCCTCCATTGTCGCCACAGCTGACTTCGGCTCGACGTGCTGGCCTCTCCATCGTGCCTGGCCGGATTCACCACGCTCCGAAAGTGTCTGGGACACATTTTGAGGACCTGTACAGTCGGGGCGCTGAAGAAGGAACCCTTTTCGTTTGGGAGGGGCTCCGTGTTCCTTGATTGTTTTGCAGTTTGTCCTGGGTTGTCCTTTGAATTTCGATGGGACATCGAGGTTTAAGTTCTGGGGAAAGGGGGTCGTGCCCTTTTTAGGGCTCCTTGGGTCAACGCCCCGACTGCAGGCCAGGGGCATGCACCATGCCATCGCTTTGCCAGTGTGTCTTTTGAGGTGTTTGACAGCAGTGACGGCGACGAGGATGCTGTGCGAGCGTTATGATGTTCCAGCTCATTCTGCCCTGAGTCGCCAGGAAGAATTTCGAGCACCAAGAATGCACCGAAACTCGAAGGTTTCCACTTGTCGGGCCATGGGAGACACTCGTTCGGCACTATTTCGACACTGTTTCGACACTTTTTCGGGTGCTCGAAATTGTTTCTGGGATGTGGTCCTGAAGCACGATGGGAGCAACATGAGGCGAGCGGCTGAAGGTGGTCATGCCCGTGGTCTTGGCACTAAGCACTGTGGCTCCTGAGAGTAGATTTTGGCGATGACTTCCGTAGATTATTCACGCTGCCCTTCTGAGGGGTACCGGCTTCGGGTGCCGTGCTCCCGTCCACGCGATTGCCCTATCCAGTGAACTTTCGAAGTCGCTCGAATGCCTCAGCTTGATTTCGAAGTCCAGACTGTCCCCAGGCACCGCGTCCCCCCATACGTGTCCCACCTAGGGGGTACTCGGTATAGGTGTTGCGCAAGCTGTGGTCGGGCCGCCAGGTTGCGTTGCCGCCTCTCTCACGCGCTGAAGAGAGGGATCGTTAATTGCAACTGGGCTCTCATGGCAGTTGCAGCGTGATTCGCGTTGATACTTCCTTGCTCGGGGCGTGCTCAGAGACTCTGTAGGTCCGAGCCGCAGGAGTCTGCCAGCGGATCTCAAAGGTATCTGAGAGACCGTGCCAGTGGATGGGCGGACAGGGTCCGGACTGGCGCCATGCGCCGGGCCCATTCCCTTCTCCCACCAGCAGGCAAGGCCGTCGCTGCTTGTGCCTGACACGGTCAAGCCACCCGGCCTGCGGACCTGGAGGCTCGAGCCAGTTGTCTTGGTATCGCTCGGACGTGTGCACTTTTTCTCGGCGGGGATTTCTAAGGAGCATCCTGGATCATCCTGCGAAAAACCACGCACGAAACCGAACAAAACACAGGGAATTGACGTCCGAGCGGCGGGGCGCTGTTGGTGATCTTCCAGCGATAGCGGGCGCTACCTTGGGGGGGGCAGGGGACGGGCCGGGCAACGTCACAATTGGCATTCGTGGCGTTTTGTGACGGCCAGGGATACTCCAGATTTCGTAATAAGGGAGGGGGGTCTCATTTCGGGGGGGTCTCTTCCAGGCTATCTTGGAGGGCCTGGGGGGGTCTGGGGACTGTGTTTTGGAGGGTTCTCCCACGGGGGGGGTCTGAAATGGCTTGTCTTGGAGGGTCCAGACCCCCTCCCTTTTATTACGAAATCTGGAGTACCTGGGACATGCAGGACTGGCAAGTGGGCGGGGGGATTGCTGGGGAACGCCTTTTGGTATTCGTGGGAGTGGCAACGGTATGAGTAGCCGGAGGACGGATTCGCAATCAGGTAGGGAACGGCCGCGGGCGCAAATGGTGACGCTATTGGGCTGCATGGTGCTCGCAGGCATGCAGTGATGCTCGCAGGTACGTGCGGTGCGCGCAGGCATCTTGTGGTGCTCAGGCCCACTACGGTGCTCGCCGTCCAGTCCACGACGACGATGACGACGACAACTCTGTCGGCTACCTCCTGCCTCGGACCAGGGGTGCACCACGGGCCCTCCCCACAGCACAAGCCGATGACAGAAGTGTAAGCAAACGGCTCCAGAAAGAACCCCGAACCATCGGTGTTCGACTCTTTGCGGTTGCGTATGAGTTGGACAGTGTGTGGTCGCGTATCCTGTGTTTGTGTATGTGTGAGTGTGTTCGTGTGTGTGTGTGTGTGCGTCATTCGCAAGTGGCAAAGACTTGGAGCATGTGGACTTGGATGAACAGGTCGGAGTATGCAGCCTGGGTTACTCAATCTGTATTGGGCACAACATTGCGAATTCAAAAGCAATCCATGAGATGCAGTATTGACAGCCGGCAGGGCCTGAATGGGATGACATTCGAGAGAACGCAGGGCGGCAACTGGAGCTGGACTGCGCCTGACTTTTTGCCACGCCTGCGACCTGACTGGACAGATGAGGACATGCTAAAAAGCACATGTGGAACCCGTACCCGAATTCTGGGTTTGCGGGTTGGGCTGGGGTGGTCGTGGTAGGTAGGAAGTAGCTCGGGCCCGGCCCTTCCTCCTCCATCATCCCTTCCTGCTCCTTCCCCCTTTCCTCCTCCCTCCTTTCCTCTTCCTGCTGCTCCTTCTCCTCGGCCTGCTCATCCTTCCTCATGGACATTCCTGGTCATGGTTCTTCTCCTCTTGGTTCCTTCCGTTTCTCCTCGTCTCCTCGTGAATATCTCCTCCTTCCTCACCGTCCTGCTCTTGACCCATACCCCCTCCACCTCGTCCTCCTGCCTGCCTTCTCCTCCTCCGAATCTTGCCCAGGGCTTCCAGAGAGAACAGATAACCCCACGGGTGTGATCGGATGAGTCGCCTGGTCGTGTCCCGGTCTCCCTCCTCCCACCCCTCTGGGCTCCCTCTCTCAGCTCTCCGCCTCCCTCCTCCTCCACCTCTCTCAGCTTCCTTCATTCCCCTCCCCCTCCCTCCTCCCACCCCTCTCTCGGGCCGAACGAAAGGGGGGGATAGGGAAAGGGGGGGTTACGAAATCTGCTGCATGCAGCTGGTTTCGGTCCCGCCGCCGGGCCCATTCTTCGATACATGGGCGCCTCCCGGCGCCGGGAGGCGCCGGGAAACTTAGCTACGTGAGCTGCTTCTCAAACCCCCCCTTTGTTATCCCCCCCTTTCGCCCGGCCCGACTCTCTCGGCTTCCTCCTCTTCCTCCTCCTCCCCTCCTCCTCCTCCTCCTCCTCCTCCCCCTCCTCCTCCTCCTCATCCTCCTCCCCCTCCTCCTCCTCCTCCTCCTCCTGTCTCCCGTGAGCACCACCGCGCTCCCGCGAGCCCCCCCAGACGCTGCGCTTTTGAGTGCACGCCGCAAGGGATATGCGGCCGTGCGAGCGCCTCAGGGCACGCTTCCGAGCGCACCACCGCGGTGCGGTGTGCGGCCGCCAGTCCTGCGAGCGAAGCGCGGCTCTGCCACGACCGCAGTCACCTTACAGTGCCGTTTTTAATACATGCTCTCTCTACAGCAGGACCTGTCCCTCTACAGCAGGAGCATCCAAAGATAGTCACAACATAGTCCGGGGGACGATATTGTTTCGCTTACATCAGAGCAGCTCGGGGGTATTTTTGTTTGGACTCCTTCTGTTTCTCGTCCAGCACCCCCCTGTAGGGGGACAGGCCCCGGCAGTGGCGCGGATCGTACAGTGCCGTTTTTGATACATGCTCCGCGTGCGGATCATGTACTAAACATGCGGGGATTTAGTACTAAAAACAACGATGAGCTCATGCATACATCTATTCATGAATTGATCATGTGTTAGAAATCCCATAGTTTTTAAACATCCCATGTATTAAAACTGTCCTGTAGGTCGGGCCTGTCCCTCTACAGGAGGATTATTCTCAAACATAGTCAAGACAATTAGCCTGGGGACGACGTTTTGACTACTTCTGAGCATCCTGGGAGTATGTTTTGACTGTGTTTTGTTCTTCGTCCAACATCCCCCTTGTGGGGGGACAGGCCCGACCTAACAATAACCCGCGAGCGCCACAGGCATGTACAACAGTTCGGGGCCTGCCAGAACCGCAGGTACCCACCGAGCACCGCAGTGCGCCTGCGATCGCCCGTGATGCGACGGTGGGCACCAAGCATGTCTCTGCTCCTCTTAAGACTTCTTTCACGTATGCCCAGTTGCCCCTGGCAGTTCCCCACTCTGTGGCTGCCTCTGGCTGCCCCACCGCTGTTCGTGCCTGCCCCAAGGGCGGCAGTGGCGCGAATCGTTTCTGCCCCGCGCTGTGCGTCTCTGCTCCCAGGACGGCAGTGGCGCGAATCGTAGCGTCTACCGGGGGGGACGCGCGACTGGGCCATGACCGCATTTCGCAGCATCTCGGGGGTATATTTTTTGGGGGGACTCCTTCCTGTTTCTCGTCCAGCACCCCCCTGCAGGGGGACAGGCCCCGGCAGGTGGCGCGGATCGTAGCGTCTATGCCGCGGGGCAGGGCGGCCCGCGTCGCAGCCGGCACCGCGCATCGCCCGGCGCCGCGCGCTCCACGGCGTTTCCCCCTGGCGAAGCACCGGCACGGGCGAGCCTCTCTCTCTCCGGGCAGCCTGCGCGCAAAGCCGCCGGCCCCCGGCGGAGGGGGGAGACGTCCAGGGCGTTCGGTCGCCTATAGATTTGGAGCTGGAGTGGCTGGGTGTGTTTGGTCACGCCTGCGAGGGTGAAGGAGGAGGAGGAGGAGGAGGAATAGGAGGAGGAACAGGAGGAGTAGGAATAAGAGGAGGAGGAGGAGGAGGAGGAGGAGGAGGAGGAGGAGGAGGAGAAGGAGGAGGAGGAGGAGGAGGAGGAGGAGGAGGAGCGGAGGTGGGGAGGAGGAGGTCGAAGGGAGGGAGGGAGGAATTGAGGGGTGCAAGAGGTGTCGTTGGGGTTTGTCACGGGGCTGCTGGGGGCCTAAGTGGGTCTCCGGCGAAGGCTCTGGGGAGTTTTTTGCCAGCTCCTGGTGGGGTGGAGGCTCTGGGGAGATTTTTGTCGGCTCTTGGTGGGCTCGTGGGGCTGGCTGGGAGCTTTGTGGAAGAGCCTCTAGGATTGGTAATTCCTAGGATGCTTCTGGATGGCCTCTTAGAGGGCTTCTGTTTTTTATGGCCTCTTGGGGGCCTTTGGGGGTGCTCTTGGGGGCCCTCGGGGGCCTCTTGGGACCTCTTGGGGGCGCATCGGGTGTCTCCGAGGGGCTTCTGGGGTCACGACTGGGGGGAGGCTCTAGGTGCCGTTTCACATTGCTCCTCTTGGGCCTTTCTCGGGTCCCTCTCGAGCCGTCTTGGGCATGTATTGGGCCGTCTTCGGGCCCTCTTGATTGGCTTATGGGCCGTTTTGGGACGATCTTCGGGGCCCCTTGGGCCGTGGTGAACGCAGCCAAGACGAGAAAGGCAGGTATGTCGAAAACTGACATTTTGTATGGGACGATGTTTGCGTCTTGCGGCCCTCTCGGCAGTCCCTGGTCCTTTGGGAGCACTCTTGGGCCGTCCGGTGGCCTCGTGGGCTGTCTTGAAGCCATCTTGGTCCGGCGCGGGGTTACCCTGGGCCGTCTCGACGCCCTCTTGGACTGTCTCGGCGCTTTGCTTGGTCCCTCTTGGGCCGTGCTGGAGCTCTCAGGAGGCTCCAGAGAGCCCCGATGGTGCGTCGACAAGCTCGTCCCCCCCCTAACGGGATTTTTGACCCATGGGGAGGGAGGAAGAGGGAGCGGGACAGCCAACTGTCTTAAAATCCGTGTCCTCTCGGCAAGCGGGTGTCGGCGGATTTCAACGGTGCGGTTGTTACGGTGCATGTTGAGAAGGTAGCGTGCGACATTTCGCCGTGTTCCCGTTTATCATGCGCTTTCCCCCGCCTCGGGGATAGGGTGCGCCGAAGAAGCCCTGGCATGGGGATCCCGCGCAATGAAGGGGCCCTCGCGGGGGATCGCCACACAGGGTTTGCGTGCTCTTTGGTAAGATGCTGTGCTGGTTTGTGGTCATCGAGGACATAAGAATCCCTAGCCCCAACAGCGTAGTGCAGGCGTGGCCTCACTTGGACCCCCGCCTTTGCGTCAGGGCGAACCGTTTTGTGGGCGGCCTGGTCTGGCACATCTGCAGAACAGAGCCCCTATTCCTGTACCCCTCGGTCGTTGAAAGTAGGTATTTTTGGATTTCCAGATTCCAATCTACTTTCAGCGCCTTCCTACTTCAAGAGTCGAGTGGTTTTCCCTCTTCCCTCCTCTTCAGGAGGCGGGGCGGAAACCCGATCTATTTCCAACGCCTTCCTACTTCATGGTTCTACCCACTTCTTCCGACCGATGGGTAATGGTTTTGGCCCTCCTGACTTGGGTCCCCTCCCAGAGGGCTCGGAGCCCTCTCTTGGTCGGTCCTCTTGGAGCCCGCCCGTGGCCGTCTTTCGGGCGATCGCACGCATGCATCAAGTGGGCGTGCGTTCGCGACGGGTCCCTCCTCTCCCTCCTCCTCCTCCTCTCCTCCCTCCTCCTCCTCCTCCTCCCCCGCCTCCTCCTCCTCCTCCTCCTCTCCTCCTCCTCCTCCTCCCCCTCCTCCTCCTCCTCCTCCTCCTCCTCCTCCTCCTCCTCCTCCTCCTCCTCTTTCTCCTCCTCCTCCGTTGCCGTGGGCAATCGCGGAGTTCCGCCGCCGAGCGGGGCGGCGCCGCACTTGCGACGGGCCCCGTTTCCGTGGGCTTACTCGCGGAGTTCTGCTCGCATTTTGGGGGAGGGCACCTCCCCCGATCCACGGATGTGGCGAGGAGGAGGAGGAGGAGGAGGAGGAAAAGGAGGAGGAGGAGGAGAAAGAGGAGAGAGGGAAGGAGGAGGAGGAGGAGGAGGAGGAGGAGGAGGAGGAGGATGAGGTAGGAGGAGGAGGAGAGGAGGAGAAAGAGGAGGAGAAAGAGGAAGAGAGGAGAGGAGGAGGGAGGAGGAGGAGGGAGGAGGAGGAGGAGGAGGCGGAGGCGGAGGCGGAGGAGGAGGAGGAGGAGGGAGGAGGAGGAGGTAGGAGGAGGAGGAGGAGGAGGAGGAGGAGGGGGGAGGGGGAGGGGAGGGGGGGAGGGGGAGGGGGAGGGAGGAGGAGGAGGAGGAGGAGGGAGGAGGAGGAAGAGAGGAGGGGAGGGGAGGAGAGGAGGAGAGAGGAGGAGGAGGAGGAGGGGGAGGGGGCGAGCAGCTGGCCCTGGCTGAGGCTGATCGCTAATCCATGTTCGCGCGCCCCCGAATCTTGGGGCCTCCTCCGGGCTTTCCCGGGCTTTCTCGGGGAAGCAGGTGCCCGCTGCTCGCTCCGTGGCACCGTCTCCAGGAGAGACGTGGGGAGGAGGGCCAGGGTCCACCCTGGGGGGGGGGATGGCAGCAATCACGAGGCCCCTCTGCGAGCCTCCCTTCCCCTGCGCCCCTCTCTCTTGATTTCTTCTCTCGAGGGATAGAACACTCTTTGATTCGCGGGTCGAGAGCGCACCTCTTCCAGCCGAAGCTAAGCGGGCCGCGCGAGGCTTGAATGAACAGAGAGGGGGGGACAGAAGGAGAGGCCTGACGACATCGAGGGATAGAACACCCCTATTTGCTGGTTTTCGGGTCCCTGGGTTTCTATGGGTTCCATGGTTTTGCGATGCAAAGCGTGACGGTCCCACACAAAACAATGAATTGACTTCCTGGGGTCTCAGGGCTGGGTTTTTTGGGAAAGGTTCCTTGTGGGCTGGCCTCCACTGCAGGCTGGAGGCCTCCCTCACGCACCCGCCAGGCCTACCAGGCCAGCGCCGCCGAGGTGCTGCGCACCTTCCAGCTCGGCCTGTACCGCGCGCACCGGTGGTCGGAGCTGGAGAAGAAGCCGGTGAGGCGTGCCCGGCGGGGCCGTTTCGGCGCTGGCGAACGCCGCAGAGGATGGATACGGAGGAGAGGAGAGGGGAGAGGGGGCGGGACGAGGTGGAGGACTGGGCGCAGCTGAGGAAGAGGGTGACGAGGGCAGGGAGGAGGAACGGATCATCTGCACGCCGCTGGGACATGGAGGCTGCCATGGAGAATGTAAGCCCAAGCTGGTCTGGATCGGGGGCGCCGAAGATGCACCAACCTTGCCCTGGAGCGAGCGAATACCCGAACGTGTGGGATCTTTTTCAAGTCGATCTGATAATGTCGTGCGCAGAATCGTCCCTTCTGCTACTCCGTCGGTCCACCCCTACCTGGTGGTTGCGCACGACTTCTGGTGACCTACGAGTTCTATTTTCCACGGCCGATGGGTTTGCCGTTGAAGCTCTGCGTCAAGGTAGCTCTCGAGCTGTGTGCCCGCATCTGGTCGCATCGTAGCTAATGAGTGGGACTTCGACGTAGGGAGCTTCCACGACCTACGTGAGCCAGGGCCCAGGAATCACTAGATTCCAAAACGAATGACTCTCGGTAGGGTGTCGTTGAAATGTGTGCTTGGTCGTACGTTAAACAGCTAGGGCAAGCAGGTATTGCTGTCGGAGGAACGACCACGAAGAGGTTCGCGCAGCACACGCGTCTGTCGGTCTCGTGGGACCTGGTAAAATGCGTACCGATGGCGCGCTCCAACAGAAAAAAAAACATGTGGGCCGAAGCAAACCCTATTGCAAGGGTAGGTTCTCGACCACGTTTTCGCGCTCTCGGCAAAAGCCATGCAGCGAACCCAAGCAGCGCTCGGGAGACCCGTGATCCTTGGGTGGTATCCGACCCCGGGACCAAGCCTCCGGGTCGGTTTCGGAGGTCGCCGTGGCGATCGCGGCCGCCTTAAATCGGGGCAGGGTTTTCGTCAAGGAGCGGCATGCCCCTTCCCAGCCCCCCCCCTCGCTCTGCGACGCAGACGTGGCTCACGATTGACCGTATAGCGACATACAGTTGCCAATGCATGCCCAACATGGGCATTCGTGTTGCTTGTCAGGTGTGTACTGCTTCGCAACCGCGTGAGTTCGGGTCTGCACCATGTTCCCTTGTGAAATCGGAGGCACCGATTGGGGGGGGAAGGCATAGGGTGGGATGCGTCGAACCCCAGTTGCCCATTGATCGCCGACAGGCCCCAGCTTGCACAGGAATGTGCGTATTCACTGTCGGGGTGCTTATCGACGATCCACCGGCGTTGACTATGTACCGCCGATTCCAGATCGATGTTTCCCTCCAAAGCCAGTCCCCCCCACCCTATCGTTGCCCCTCTTGAAACAGGTGTGCCATCTCAGTGGTTGAAGGCGCAGGCTCCGAACAGAATACGCTCTTGCACCAATTAGCACGCACTGGCCACCAGGGCTTAAGTCGGGCCTGTCCCTCTACAGGAGGAGAACTCAAACATAGGTCAAAATCGTCTGGGGACTTCCTTGAAACTTATTATTCGACTATGTTCGAGCCTTTTTCGAGATTTGTTTTTGATGTTTCGTCTCAAATCCCCCTGTATTAGGAGAGGGAAAAACACACAGACACAATTAATCGTCGACTCCCAGAAAAAGTTGGGAAACTATGGGAAGTGGGGGGGAAGACACAAACCCAGAAAACATGGGAAACTATGGGGCATCTTTTTGATGTGTGTGCATTTCTTTGTGTGTCCTGGGGCCCCTTTCACTGCAGGGGGGGACATGCCCGACCTGACGCCAGGCCCCCCCCCACGCGGGGAGAAAGGGGCGGACCGCCAGGGGAGCGCGGCGGGCACCTTTGGCACCTTCTGGCTTGACCCCCCCGGGACAGGTACGGAGACGCCTCGGTGCCGGACCCCCTCCTCCGCCTCCTCCGCCTCCTCCGCCTCCTCCTCCTCCTCCCTCCTCCCTTCTCCTCCTCCTGCCGTTCTGCCTGCGCGGGGTGCCGAGACCAGGGGCACCCACTCACGGGCGGGAGCACGCGGGTTTAAAAATCCCTTCTTTTCCTCCTCTATACAAACATAGATTATTTGGAGAGTAGTGTAAGGCTCGGGGTATTCAGGTCGTCTGCAAAAAGCAGCCGCGGTATGAGGCCTCGAGATAGTGGAAAGCATCGCTCGTTCGCTCCGTCGGCGAGGTCAATGCATAGAAGATCTGCGGGCAATGTTCATCTTGGTTGCGCTTACACGCGTAGTTGGCCGTCGAACAAGGTAGGCGCCGCTGATGTGTGAACTTGCACTCAGTGTGAGGCCGTCATGGTTTCAATGGTTGCCCGAGATTTGTCTTCACGTGCCAGCGCCTTGTCGGTCTCTCGGCTCGGTCCAAGTCCCATACGCGGGGCAAGTTCCTGGCCCCTAGGTTGTTGGCTGGGATTTTTCCTGCCGCTGGCACATGGTCGGCGTCACTCCAACATACTAATAGCTTGTACGCGTCGCCCCCACGGGGGCGTTGCTCGCACCGAGAAAGTTTATAGTACACGCGTCGTGGCGGGATCTTTCTGGCCACACCGCTCGTGAAACGATGTTTCACAAGATGGGTATAGTACGTGTTCGGGTCGGACGCGCGCCTCCAAGGAGGTATAGCTTTAGTATGGAGGGTGCGCCGTTGGATGTCCCAAAGGGAGGGGGGGCGTCCGGGACCCCCCCCCCTTTCCCCAGTCCGTCGTCGGCGGACCCCCTCCCACGATTTCCCCTTCTTTCCCGATCCGTCGTCGGCGGACCACCCCCCCCTCCCTTCTTTCCAGGTCTGTCTTCGACGGACCCCCCTTCCCCCCCAACCCGTGGACTCGAAATTCGGACCCCCCCTCCCCCGCTTTCGCCACGCCGCCCCCTGGCTCAGGAGCCCGATCCCCGCCATCCCTAACCGTATTCCTAACCCCTACATTTATCCCTAACCCGATTCCTAACCCCAATCCGTAACCCTAACCCCGAATCCGGATCCCCAAACCCTGCCCCCACTCACGACCCACTATATCACTACTCACTACCATCTACTCACCACTCAATACTCACTACGCACTACTCCGGACTCCCTATTCATTATTCGTTTTGCATTTCTAATCTATTCGCTTCTCACTATTCATTTCTCACTACTCACCACGCACTATTCACTACTCGCTACTCATTTTTCGCTTCTCACCAACCACCTGCTCACGACTCCCTACTCCCTCCCCCTGACCCCCGATTATGTCTTCACTTGCCACTTTCCATCATTCACTACCCTAACTCTTTACTCCCTACTTTTACTCAGTACTCACCACTCACTACGCACTGCTCGTTACACAGCGCACTGCTCGCTACTCTTTACCCACTACCCGCTACTCACCACCCATGACTCAATACCCACGACTCACTACTTACTACTTAGTACCCACTACCCATTAGTCCCTACTTCCTACCCCCTATTCAGTACTCTTTACGCCTCTTTCTCACTAGTCACTACTCACTACACAATGTTCGCTAGCCCGTATTCATTACTCACTATGCAGTACTCCCCACACACTTGTCCTCACACCGTTTTCCTCCCTAGTCACGACGCTCTACATCCCATGCGCTACTGACTTCTCACTACTCACACCGCACAACTCACTACTCACCACTCACTACGCACAGCTCACTAGTCACTACCCACTACTCAGTGCTCACTCCCCGCTAATTACTACTTATTACTCCTTACTCCCTATTCCCTATATCCTACCACGTACTCCTTATTCACGGTTTCCTGCTCAGTCCTAACCAAGTACTACTCGCTGCTCGTTGTTCCCCATTCGGCGTTCCCTATAAGAGGAGGGCAAGGTAACGATATCGGTACGCTTCCCTTGTGTTTCCCCCTTTTGGGTTTCGATGGAAGCCCCCGGCACCACGACTGGATTTTCCCGGCCCGTTCGCGTCGACTGGCGTCGAGTATCGTCGACCAGGATCGGCTGGCGCCGAGCGGCAAGAGCCAGCAAGGTGACATGGGGGGGGTTCCGCGAGTTGCCACAGGAGGGCGTGGTGTTAAGTCGGGCCAGGCCCTCTACAGGGGGAATGTTCAAACATAGTCAAACAATAGTCTGGGGACGATGTGCCATACTGGTTATAACCATTTTGAAATATTGCTTGGTATTCATGATTTAATTTTTCGCCCAGAACCCCCTGGTAGAGGGGAAGGCCCGACCTGAGCGTGGTGGGGCCGTGTTCGCCGAGAGCCCGCGCGCCGAGGCCGCAGCTGTGGGGCGAGCGCCCTCTGGACCCGGCCGCGGTCCGCTACGCGGTGCGCCCGCGGGCGCCACACACCGCGGGCTGCAGTTTCGGCAGGCTTACAGTCAAAAACCCTAATAAGGACGCGCGATGTTGCTCAGGGTACCCTTGCTTCCTTGCTCTTCCTTGCTCTTGCGTCCTTGAGGTTTTCGTCGTCCGCCGCCCCAAAAATCCCAACTTCGGCTTCCACGGGTATTGCGTCCTTGCCGCGCGTCCTTATTAGGGTTTTTGATTGTACGTCGTGTCCGCCAGCGGCGACCCCGCCGGCGGCGTTCAGCGTCGAACGTCGGGGGCGGCAGAGAGGGGGGTGGTGACTAGGGGGGGGTGGAGATCATGGCGGGGGCCATGGTATCTCCCCAGGTTTCGTGGCACCCTTCTGATTTCATTGCGTCCCTGCCCCCCCCCCCTGGGCCCGCGCACATGCCGCCGGCCATGATTTGCACCCCCCCCTCTTGGACGCCCTTCTCTTGGCCGCCCCCGAGAGCGTAGTCGGGAGCTTGGGGGCGAGTGTCAGCGCAAACGGGGGACCGCCAGAGCGCCGGATCTTGCAGGATCCCTGCTAAGCTGGGGCTGCACCGAGCCGGGTGAGCGTGCAAGAAGGACCTTGGCAGGATCCTGCAAAGCCCGACCGACCCGGTTTTGGACTGGCCCGTGTCAGTAGATCCCCGAACGTTGCTCGGGGGCGGAAAAGAGGGGGGTGATGTTTAGGGGGGGGTGGATATCATGGCGTGGGCCATGATACTTCCCCAAATCTCAGGGCGCCTCTTCTTATTTCATTACGTGCCTCGCCTCCCCGCTGGGCCGCGCACATGCCGCCCGTCATGATTTGCACCCCCCCCGCTTGGACGCCCCCCCCCCTTGGCCGCTCCCGAGTTGCCGGCGACCCAGATTTGGTCGATCGTCGTTTCGGATTCGGCCGATCGTCGTTTCGGACTCGGCCGATCGTTCGCGGATCCCCGCGGTGTCAGGAGCCAGCGCCAGGGTCGGCACGGCACGAGCCTGTTTTCGCGAGGTCTTCGAGAGCGGGTCCTCAGCGGAGGGTGGCTGGGCGCAGTGGGCCAGACTCCAGGTAATGGAGGATGTCGATTAATAAATGACCGGGGGTCGTGTTCACGCGGCGGCGCCCAGGATTGCGATTAGAAAAAAACGGCCGCGGGCTGGAAAACTATTTTTTAATCGTTCTCCTCCAGTCAGAAAATTATGCAGAAATCGCAGAATTTTTTTTTTGAATCGTTCCCTCCCATTTTTTATTAATCGTCATCCCGCGTTACGACATAGTAAGTCGCTCGTTTTGAATTTAAGATGTGTCGGCGAGTAGCGCTCAAAAGCGCGCGCACCGCGCCCAATAGCGCCAAATGGCGCCCACAATCGCTCAATGGCGTTCAATAGCGCTCAAAGAGCACCCCAATAGCGTTCAAGAGCGCCTGCAGTGCGCCGCATGAGGGAGATGGATTGCGTCCGCTGTGCAACCTGTTTGGCTTGAGCGGACGCGTGGACGCCACAGGGACGACCAAACGCTCCCAGGAGTTGCTTTCTAACTTCTACAGGTAGGCCCCCTGACCCCTCCAGAGCTTTAGGGTCAGTGGCCAATGAGCCAGAAGCCAGCGCACGGGTTTGGTCGGCACCCAGCCCCGAGGCAGATCCGTCGCACGTCCGCCGTGCCTGCTTGTTGGATGGGTTCGGCTGCCCAATGGCAAAATTTGGAGTTGTCTCGAATTGCTGGTCATGACCGTCCAGGACGGTTCATGGATGGCGTTGGTGCGACTGCGAGCTAGTCCTTGTATTTTTGCCAGATGTTGGGTTTGAAGTCGCAAGAGGCAGTGCAGGTTAGCTGGTTTTCCGAAGACGCCTCTATTTACTATGGCACTCCCGCAGGCTGATGTTGTACTCATGCCGTGGGCATCGTCCAGCAAACACAATCATGATCGGTGCGGAGTTTACATAATTCATATTTAGAACTGGTTGTGTATATATATATATATTGTATATACATGTAGATATGGAAGTACACTTATATCTCTACATCTATATATATACACACTCCTCGTCCTATATTTTTATAAGCCTGGGCGGGGGGAACCCCCCCAAAACCGGACTCCCCCGATCTGGGGCTTCGGGTTCCTCCGGACGGGCCTCGAAGCGGCCCGCCCGGCCTCGCAGGGCGTTTTGCCAAGCCTTCCCAGCACACCTAGGGCGATCAGGGGGGTCGTCGGGTCATCGGAGGCGTCCCAGAGACCCCCAAGACAGCACAAGAGCGCTCCAAGAGTGACCGACGTGACCTCAAGATGGGCAAAGAGGCCTTCAGGACGGCCCCAAAGGCTACAAAAAGCCTCCAAGAGCACTCCCAAGAAGGCCCCAAGAGGCATAAATCATTAATTTTCTGATTTTCGGCTTCCCAACGCTCCAATACGGCAGTCTTCTGGGCGTCCGAAGCCGCCTGGGAGGCTCCAAAATCGCCCCACCCATCCGAAATGGCTTCCAGGCAGTCCAAGAGAGCCCAAAAACGGCACAACAGGAGTCAAAGATGACCCTAAGAGAGCCCCGTAGCGGCCGAAGACGGCCCCAAGACACCCTCCGAAGCATTCCAAATCGTGACCCGGTCGTTCAGGGAGACCGCGGTTGCAGGCAGGGTGGCCCGAGCAAGCCCCCAGAACCTCCAGAACACGCCCAGGAGGCCTCCAGAAGTCCTTAAGAAAGCCTGAAACTGTTGTGAGGCCCCCAGAGGCTCTCCAAGGAGGAGCCTCCGCAAAAGAGCAGAGGAGTATGGGGAAAATGCGCAGGGCATATCGAGAATGAGGAAAAAAGAAGCATGGAGGAAGGATAACGAATAACATCATTTTAGCGGCGATGCTGGAAAAGGCAATAAGGAGTTATCGCTAAATTGTCAACTTGACCTTCCTGCCATTCCGCCTGCATACCAATCTTCAGGGACCAAGGTGCATGGCGCGAAGCGCCACTGCAGTCTGGTACGTGTGTATATATCTATATATATATATATAGGTATCTCTCTCTCTCTTGTGTTCTTTCCCTCCAGATTCGCGGAACAAGAGGTCAGAGGAACTCGCAGATTCGAGATCTCGCATTGCCAAGCAGAGTTGTTGGCTTGATGGCAGTGTGCCCTGCCCTTGCCACCGCGTCGCTCTGAGTCCTGGCCAGGCGGCTTCCGCACCCGGGGGTCGGTCGCACTGTTCCCCAACCAGTGTTTGCACTCAGCCATGGGCTCCTGCTCCTGGCATCGCTCGGGCGTGTGCAGTTTTTCTGTTGTGGACTGCATTTGCTGGGGTCGGAGACCCCCTTGTGCAGGAGCAAGCACAGCATGGCATGATCGGAGCAGTGTCGACAGGTCCTCTTGGCTCAGGAGATGAGCGCAACATCATCAATCTAGCTACATTTTCCCTCGGCGAGGGCCATCGAGGGCCATCGAGGAGCAGCCTGGACAATCCAGCAGGCACAACCACGCACGACGTCGAAGCACGCACGGGGAACTGACGTCCGGGCGATGGCGAGTACGGTAGGTTTGCGTCGCGTCGACCAGCGACCCCAGCGCGGACGTTCAAGGTTGAACGCCGCCGGCGACCCAGAATCGATCGACGTTGAACGATCGGACGTTGCGGCAGCGGCCGATCGTTCCAGGTTGAACGATCCCCGCGGTGTCAACAACCAGCGCCGGAGTCGGCACGACACGAACCTGCCGTAAGCTGCTTGCCCTCTCCGCGGGGCCGGGCGGCTCCGCCGAGAGGTCCCGCCCGGGGGTGTGCCCCGTCGGGGGCGCCCGCGGGCGCCCCCGACATGGGCGCCTCGTGCTTGGCGGGGCTCCGCCGAGGCTCCGCCCCGTGCCCGCCTCGGGGTGGGCCCCTTGCGGGCGCCGCTTGTGCGCGGGGCGGGTCAGCACGCACTGCTGGCCAGGTAAAAAAAAACCCACGCAGACACAATAATAAATCGTCGATTCCCTCGAAAATCTGGAAAATGTTTGGGACATGGGGGGGAAGACAAAGACCCATTACATAGGGGAACATGTGGGACATCCTGCTATTCGTGTGTAGTTATTTGTGTGTGTGTGTGTGTGTGTCCCTGGGCCCCTTCAGTTATGCACCACGTCGCGGCCGCGTGAGCCTGTGCAAAACAGTTTATGCTTCCTAGATGGGGTCCGACTAGACGTCGATGCATCGTCGATGTATCGGCGACGCGGCTCGATGTGGAGCCTGATGTTCTTCGCGCTGGCGTCGCCGATGCATCGCCGATGCATTGCCGATGCATCGCCGATGTATTGGCGATGCGGCGCGATCCTCCGACCCCACCTACTCCGACCCCATCTGGGAGGCCTCTAGGAAAGCTGTGGATGGAAGGGCGGGATGATTGCGCGACCAGTGGAGTCGGCGACTTTGCTTCCTGCAGGGTGGATTGCACCACGCCGCTTTCACCACATGCCTGGCACCATGCAGCTTCTACACCCACAGGGCACTCACTGCTCTGCGGCACTGCCTGTTGGGGCGCCCTGTAATGTCAGCTTGTGATTGACCAATGATGCCCCCCCCCCGGAGCTGATGAATAGATTATGCGGTGCGGGAAACATTGTTTTTGATCGCGCGCGCCAGGGGGTCGTCGTGGGCGCCGCCTAGGGGGTCGTGCACCCCTCCTGCATGACAGCCACGAGACGGTTGCCTTTCGCATATAAGGTGTTGTAGGGGTCGTACTCATCCAATCCAATGTTTGTTCCCTCTCACAGGAGTCGTCGTCGCTGTCGTCGTCGTCGACTACAACGGGCCTGTGCAGCATTCCCCATGCGGCATCCGCAGGCGTCGTCGTCGCCGCTGTCGTCGTCGCGTTGTCGACGTCTTAGTCGTAGTCGTCGTCGTCGTCGTCGTCGTCGTCGTCGTCGTCGCTGTCGTCGCCGGTCGACTACAACGGGCCTGTGCAGCACACCCAATGCGGCATCCGCAGGCGTCGTCGTCGCCGCTGTCGTCGTCGCGCTGTCGACGTCGTAGTCGTAGTCGTCGTCGTCGTCGTCGTCCTCGTCGTCATCGTCGTCGTTGTCGTCGTCGTCGTCGTGATCGTCGTCGTCGTCGACGACGTTGTCGTCCTCGTCCTCGTTTTCGCCTTCTTCGTCCTCTTCGTCGTCGTCCTCGTCCCCTTCGTCGTCGACGTCGCTGTCTTCGTCGTCGTCGTCGTCGTCCCCATCGTCGTCTTCGACTACAGCCACTACAGCAGCGGGCCTGCGCAGCACCCCACCCCCACCACAGGGCATCCGCAGTGCGTCGTCGTCGTCGTCGCCGTCCTCCGTCCGCCGTCCGTCATCCTCGTCCTCGTCCTCGTCGTGCTCACCGTGCTCCTCGTCCTCGTCTTCGTCTTCGTGCTCATCGTCGTCGTCGTCGTGGACTACACGGGGCCAGTTCGTCGTCGTCGTGGTCGTCGACGATCAAAGCGGTCCTAAGAGGCATCCGCAGTGCTTCGTCTTCGTCGTCGCTGTCGTCGTCGTCGGCTTTGTCGTCGACTGCAGCACCTCTTCGTCGTCGTCGTCGTCATCGTCGTCATAGTCGTCGTCGTCGTCGTCGTCGTCGTGATCGTCGTCGTCGTCGACGACGTTGTCGTCCTCGTCCTCGTCCTCGTTTTCGCCTTTTTCGTCCTCTTCGTCGTCGTCCTCGTCCCTTCGTCGTCGACGTCGCTGTCTTCGTCGTCGTCGTCGTCGTCCCCATCGTCGTCTTCGATTACAACCACTACAGCAGCGGGCCTGCGCAGCACCCCACCCCCACCATAGGGCATCCGCAGTGCGTCGTCGTCGTCGTCGCCGTCCGCCGTCCGCCGTCCGTCGTCCTCGTCCCCGTCCTCGTCGTGCTCACCGTGCTCCTCGTCCTCGTCCTCGTCTTCGTGCTCATCGTCGTCGTCGTCGTGGACTACACGGGGCCATTTCGTCGTCGTCGTCGTCGTCGACGACCAAAGCGGTCTTAAGAGGCATCCGCAGTGCTTCGTCTTCGTCGCCGCCGTCGTCGTCGTCGGCTTTGTTGTCGACTGCAGCACCTCGTCGTCGTCCGTCGTCGTCGTTGTCGCCGTCGCCGTCGTCGTCGTCGTCGTCGCCGTCGTCTCTGGCGTCGTTTCCGTCGTCTCCGTCGTCGTCGTCGTCGTTGTCTGTCTCGTCGTCGTCGTCGTCGACGACCACAGCGGGCATGCGCAGCACCCCCGCCCCCCGATGATCCGCAATGCGTCGTCGTCCGCCGGCGCCGTCGCCGTCGCCGTCGCCGTTTCCGTCGTCGTCGTCGCCGTCGTCTCCGTCGTCGTCTCCGTCGTCG